GGTGACAGGTCCCAACCAAGTCCCAAATCTAGCAAGACGAATTCCTTTAGATTATAAATCTCAAGAATAATTTTCTGTGGTTTGATGCTCTGCCCATCAAGCCCACTGAGGTGGCAACATCACCCCCATGGCTCTTTGGGGTGGCCCTGTCCCTCTGACTCAAAATTCAGCAAGAAACAATAAAAATAGTACACATTGCTAGTTGTGTAATCAGTGTAGTCTTTTGGAAGAGCCGCTTTGCAATGCAAGTCAAAAACCATACAACTTTGCATATCCTTTGATTCAGTAATTCAAATTCTGGCTATTTTTAATAATGATACTTCTTTGGGCTTCTCCTGTGGCTCAGTTGGTAAAGAATCCACCTGCAAAGTGGGAGACCTGGGTTCAATCCCTGGGTTGGGATGATTCCCCTGGAAAAGGGAAAGGCTACACACTCCAGTATTCTGGCCAGGAAAATTCCATGAACTCGCATAAGGTTTTGGACATAACTGAGTGACTTTCACTTTAATTGTACAAAATATTTCAATATAAGAATGTTTATCACAGTTTGTATATTATAATGAAAAAATGTATAAACCCCCAAAAAAACCCAAGATTGATGCAGTCATTCAGTAGATTAGAATGCAGCCAAAAGGAGTGACAATGGCATACTTAGATAATTTAATACCCTGAAAAAGATTCAACGTAAAATAAATGAATGAGGCAGTTACCAAACAATATTCCAATTATGGTAGATGCTAAGAGTACCACAGCTGTATAACTTTACCCTCACTATTTTTGGTGTATGCTTGATATACTTCCAGTTGCCAGCATCTGCTTCTCTTTGCTTGAGTTTTCTTCTTCCATGTGCTTATCAGGCCAGAGATGCTGAAGAATTATGCGCCTGGGTGAGCACTGGCACACATTGACAGAGTTCATGTATAAATAGCTCAGGTCACACACCTTTGATGAGATAACTTTGAGACCCTTGTCCTATATATACTGACCCTGGGAGTCCGAGTTCCTTCTTGGAATCAGCTCCTGTTGCCCACCAGGTCACTTCCTGGTAACATCCTCTGAACTGGCTGCTTTTCCTTTTCTGTCTCACTCTTTTACGCTCCTACGTGGGTTTCCTGACATCATTCAAATGAACCACTACCACTCAAATCCTTATCTGAAGGTCTTCTTGTAGGGAAATCCAACCTAAAAACAAATTCAAACAGAATTTAAATTGAAAATTGTATATCTGTATAAATCTGATTGGAAATATGTAGATTGAATTAGCGATATTATTACTGGGGATGCTGACGATAGGTGGGTCTTTTCTTCCTTTTTACTTTTTTATACTATCTTTAATGAACCTAGAAGAAGGGAAAAAATAAAAGTTATTTTAAAGAAGAAAAATTAACAAATACTTTCTCCCCTGTTCACTTTTTCTCAGTCCCATTCTCATTTTAGTCCTTTCAAAGGAAAGCTCTTAATATGAGTTTCACTGATATATAGTGCAAAGACTTACTGCATAATTATATAATGGTTTTCACTCAAAGAAATATTAAAGGTAATACAGACTTCAAGCAGTTCCTTCAGCAAGTCAATTTCAATTTTAAACTTTCAGTATTCTCTCTGCCTTAACTACATCTTTAAATATTTCAGAGCTAGGAAATTCTCTTTTTCACTAAAGGAGGGTTTGACCTGCAGAATTTTAGGTATAGATATTCATGAAGAATACTTTCCTCCTAGATTATATTATTTATCATGAAGCAATCCTAATTCCTTCCAGATGAAAAGGTATCAGCCCCTCTGACGAACTTCAGAAATGGCCATTTTCACAAAAGCTGAAGGGCAGTTGTTTAACTATCATGTAATTCTGTTTGTAGAGATGGAGAGAAAAGTAAATTCTCCAGGCAAAGCTTTGGACCTGTGAAATGAGTAGTGTAAAGAGCAGGGAAATTCACTGACCCAAGAATCAGGAGATCTGATTTCATAACCTTGGACCAGCTAACTAATTGCTCAGATGTGAGTGTGGTGAAATTCAAGCAAAGAGAAAACGTTAAGTAAATGAAAGAAATGAATTCATGCCCACTGGGAACAGACAAGTTACAAAACAAGTCAAGTGATCAGACTCGGACTTCTTGTTTTTCCACATTTAAAGGAGACAGGGATATTTGAGAAAGATGTCTTGACCTCTGAAAAGGTGGAGGAGGTGTGACCGATGGGTAACAAATACACTTGGCCTCAGTTGTGAAGGTGTGGTGGGAGCTGTGGGCTATGGGTGACTGTGCTGTTAATGTTAATAGTTTGCTAGGGTTGCCACAATAAAATGTCGGGACATAAACAACAGAAACTATTTTCTCCCAGTTCTTCAGACTGGAAGTCCAAGATCAGGGCGTCAGCAGGTGTGGTTCTCCTGCATTCTCTCTCCTTGTCTTGCAGGTGGCCACCTCCTCACTGTTTCTCTGTGCACAGGTCCCTGGTGTCTCTCCTCCTTTTAGAGGAAAGTCAAGGAATGATAAAGTCTCAGGTTTTGAGAAACACTGAACTCTGTAATTTAATGATCCATTAAAATCTATTTTGAATCTTACTTTGTGTTTTTCTTGATATAGCTTTAAAAATATATATCTAATGTTATGTTTCTATTTACCTGTCTATTTTCTTTTGAACTGTAAATATAGAAATTTGCTTAAAATTGGATCCACTTAAAAGTAAGTTGACTATGAAACATTCACACAAGAAAACTGTTTATATATTAGGGCAAAGGAAAAATGTGAGTAAATTCCCCAAAGTGTAAATCCTGAACCTACTAAGCAATAGGGCAAAAATCAATGACTGAAAGATGGTAAAAATGAAACAGCAAAGCGCAGGAAGACAGTAAAATAACCACAAGGAAACCATTTTTTTAAAAGAAACTCTTCTAAAAGCTCTGGTTAAAATGGCAAGTTAAAAACTATGTGGTAGACAAGGGTAATTGAAAAAAAACACTTTTCAGTTGTCATTCTTAGTTATTCTGAAATTAGGATATTACAGTTATAATAGTAGATTAATATTTATTAATAAATGATAGTAAAGACAAAACATTTTAAAACTTTATATTATTTTTTGAAAGAAAAATAAAAATATACAAGCTGTACATTCTGAGAGGGCAGATAAATTGAAATACTAAAGAAGTAAGAATAAAGAAATTAATGAAGGTAAGAGTAGAAATTAATGAAGTGGAAATAAAAAATATTGTCATCAGAGCTTTTTATTTGAAAAGACAGTCTAAGACAATACAAATATGCAACCTCAGTAATGAGGCATTTACTGAGATAATAATTTCACCATTTTAAATGAATACTAGCTATACATTTGTACCAATGAGTTTGAAAATATAAAAGGTATAAATAAACTTCCTGAGAAAATAGCAATTTGGAGTCAAGAATAGGTAGAAACTATAAAGAAAGATAGTCAAAGTGCTCTCTCCCCCACCTCCACTCTGATTTGTAGGCACAAGATTCAAATGTTTGGTAAGTAAATCCAATACAAACTTCAAAGCATAAGAAACTGAGATTTGTAAGCTATTGTAAAGCACAGATAAAGATATACAAATTAGCAATTCATGCTATGAAAGTGGTATGCTAGTAGTTCCACAAAAAAAGAAATTTGGAAACTTATTTAATAAATGAACATAGAAGCAAAAATATCAAAAATAAGCATCTAATCTAGAGGAATATTAAAATAATGCTGTACCATACTTCATAAATGCCGAGGTGGTTTAGCATCAAGAAATCCACCGGTAAGTCACTGCATTAGTCGTTAAGGAGAGAAAGTATATGACAGATGCTAGAAGCATTTGATGACGTTCAACATCCGTTTCTGGGCAATATCCTTAGTAACTTTGAAATTAAAGGAAATATGCTTACTTTGAAAGGTGTTTGTTTTTATAGCTATCAGGATTCCCTGATAACTCACTTGGTAAAGAATCTGCCTGCAATGCAGGAGACTCTAGTTCAGTTCCCAGGTGGGGAAGATCCACTGGAGAAGGGATAGGCTACCCACTCCAGTATTCTTGGGCTTTCCTTGTGGCTCAGCTGGAGAATCTGCCTGCAATGTGGGAGACCTGGGTTCGATTCTTGGGTTGGGAAGATCCCTGGAGAAGGGAAAGTGTTCTCACTCCAGTATTCTGGCCTGGAGAATTCCATGGACTATACAGTGGCCACTACTGAGTGACTTTCACTTTCTTTTATAGCAGTTAACAGTAGAAACTATACTCATGGGGAAATGCTGGAGGAACTCCCAATAAATTTAGGAAACAGAGAAAGATGTCCACTCTCATTGCTATTATTTATCTTCAGACTGGAGTTACAGAAGAGGAAATGCAAATTAACAATGAACAGTAAACATGAGAAAATGTGCTTGTCTCTCATACTAATAGGAATGAAAGATAAAGCTGCCATAAAATACAATTTTTACATATTAGGTACAACATGAATGATTTTTGATTTTGATGAAATTGCTCCCATTACTTATGCCCTTCTTACACCTTCAGAGGTGACCGTATCCTGCCCTCTTTTTCTTTGTGCTCCCCCTTCTCTATGGATTAGTGAAAAGGACTTTACAACTAATTCTTTTTTTTTTTTAATTAATTTTTTTTAATATATATAATTTTATTACAAAATTTTTTTTTAAAAAAGAAAGTGCAACATTCTCGTTCTAGAAAACCCAAAATTTGCTATTGATGCTAATTTCTATGAGTTTGCTGTGCTACCATACACAAGTCAAGAAATTAAAGAAACCATTAAATATTTAGAAACATTTAACATCAGAAGCTTGAAAATCTAACTGTATGTAGTAGCCCCTCAAAAAGCCACAACTTGCATTTTTAAAAAAGTATTTTCTCTACAAAGAATCTTATCAGCTATACAAAAATCTGTACAATTTTTATACTGAAGCTAATATTGAGCTGCACTTGAATTCACATTCTTAGCAAAACAATTGCCTGAGCACACACGCATACTCCACACACATCATTACAAGATAGCCATTTATTCCTCATCTTCCTCTTCCTCTTCCTCATCTTCATCTTCTTCCTCCTCCTCTTCCTCCTCATCTTCTGGTTCATTCTTCTTCTTGGAGCCTGTCGGCCTGCCAGGGCCCTTTTTTCCCGCTTCACTCTTGCCCTTGGCACGGTATGCAGCAATATCCTTTTCGTATTTTTCCTTTAGCTTAGCTGCTTTCTGTTCATACGGCTGTTTATCTTTGGCTGACTGCTCAGACCACATTTCACCCAATTTTTTTGCAGTATCCCCAATGGATAAGCCAGGGTGTTCGCTTTTGATCTTTGGGCGATGTTCAGAGCAAAACAGGAAGAAGGCAGATGGAGGCCTTTTCGGAGCGTTGGGATCTTTTTTCTTTCCCTTCTTGTCACCTTTAGGAGGGACATAATTTTTCATCTCCCTGTCGTAGCGAGCTTTGTCACTTTTTGCCATGTCTTCGAACTTGGACTTTTCCTTGGCCGACATGGTCTTCCATCTCTCGGAACATTTCTTGGAAAACTCTGCGAAATGGACTGAGGAGTCGGGGTGCTTCTTCTTGTGCTCCTCGCGGCTGGTCTGCACGAAGAAGGCGTACGAAGACATCTTGCCCCGCGGCTTGTTGGGGTCGCCCTTCCCCATGATGCTGCTGCTGCGGCGGAGGCGGCGTGTCCACCTGGCGAAAGATTTTCCTCAGAGTTCCGCGCAGCGGCCCTGTTTCACCGCGACGCTGCTGCTCTGGCTCCGGCGTGAACTGGTCCAACTAATTCTTTATAACTTCAAAGCCTCAAGACATCTGCTGAAAGTCAGTGGATTTATCTTCTGGAAAAAACTCTCAGATGAATCTGAGTAATTGAGTGGGGGTGGTGTGGGGGAGCACTCTGGTCCTGTGGATGATGGCTGTTTTTTCCCTGAAATATCTTAAGAAAAAACACACCTTGCCACTGTGAAGATTGATTTCTTTTCTGCCCATTAACATGATGTGTATCCTATTTTCTGTAAAATAATAGCCCTTATGTTATTTTGTGAAGGTGTACTCTTTCCCTCCTTGTTGAAGGTTAAATTACACATCTTATTCACATTAATCTGTCTATGAATAGAAAATGACCGAGTTGCTGCTCTCTGATACCCAGAGATTTCCATTGACCACTTGACTGTATTTGCAGGCAGGCAGGGTCGGGTGGAGGACATTTCAATGCACCCCCACCTCAGGATCCATTGGAAAAGCAATTACATCATATGCTTCAACTGATCAACAGAAAACTGAAGCCTGCTAGTCTATGGTTCTTTAATAACAAGAGGGCTTGTTATTTTTTAAAAAAGGAAAGAAAGTAGGTAGAAGAATCCATCTGAAAATCAGCTCCTGGTTTATCTTTCTTAGATCTGAAGGCTGAATGTTGAGCTTGTGTTAATCATGCTGCAGGGGTTGGAATAGCCTGCATACCCTGCTCCAGCAGGGTTTTTTATCTGTGCTTAATATGCAAAGTATTCTTGCTTGGGAAAGTGCCCAGTCCCCAAAAAGCCATACATCTCCTACTGTTTAAACCATAGGAAGTTAGCATTGTTGACTCTGCTTTTGGCCAAACCATAAAGAGCTAAAAGTGACCCATGTGGTGTGGAGAGATGAAAATTAGTTAAATTATGAGCTAGAGACTCCATTCGATTACTCAGAGGAGTGGAAAATCTTTTTTGAGGTTTTCTATAGAGACTTCACTGAGGGTCAGATTTAAAAACAATAACCGTAAGGTCAGAAAGCTAAACTGATGGTTCACCGTTTTGGATGAGAGATGGGCAGAGATCTTGGATCAGGGTCTGGGATTTGAAGATACAAAGTTTAGGGCAGTGTAAAACCAGCGAAGCCTGAAGGACAAGGAAGCCTGGCGTGCCACAGTCCGTGAGGTCCCAGTCTGACCCGACTGAGCAACTGAAGTGAACTGAAGACCAGCGACTCCTGCAGTTACAAAGCACTGCCACATGGGGGCAGCAAACCTTTGCTATCATGAAGTGGCAAGTGCTACTTGCTTCAAGGGCCTGTGACTCTCAGATGAGATAGCAACATATCTAATGAACTACCTAAAAGCAAGTTTTCCTACACTGGCATGAACATTCATGACTTTTTTCTTTATATGGCATCCTAGGAGTAGAAGAAAATCATTACTATTTCCCTCCACAATTTCACACATTTGTTGTTGTTCAGTTACTCACCCGTCTGACTCTTTGCGACCCCATGGACTACAGACAGCATGCCAGGCTTCCCTGTCCATCACCAACTCCTGGAGCCTGTTCACTCATGTCCATTGAGTCAGTAATGCCATCCAACCATCTCATCCTCTGTCGTCCCCTTCTCCTCCTGCTTTCAATCTTGCCCAGCATCAGGGTCTTTTCTAATGAGTCAGCTCTTCACATCAGGTGGCCAAAGTATTGGAACTTCAGTTTCAGCATCGGTCCTTCCAATGAATATTCAGGGTTGATTTCCTTTAGGATTGTCTGGTTTGATCTCCGTGCGCTCCAAGGGACTCTCAACAGTCTTCTCCAACACCATGCTTCATCAGTTCTTTGGTGCTCGGCCTTCTTTATGGTCCAACTCTCACATCCATACATGACTACTGGAAAGACCATAGCTTTGACTAGATGGACTTTGTTGGCAAAGTAATGTCTCTGGATTTTAATGTGCTGTCTAGGTTTGTCATAACTTTCCTTCCAAGGAACAAGCGTCTTCCACTGAAACTCCATTGTGAGCTTCTCAGTTTCTCTCAATATTAGAATACATGTCTCCTCTCTTGCAGGACTTCCTGGTGGCTCAGACAGTAAAGAATCCACCTGCAATGCAGGAGACCTGGGTTCAATCCCTGGGTTAGGAATATACCCTGGAGAAGGGAATGGCAACCCACTCCAGTATTCTTGCCTGGAGAATTCCATGAACAGAGGAGACCGGTAGGCTACAGTTCATGGGATCGCAGAGAGTCAGACACAATGGAGCGACTTTCATTTTCACTTTCCCCTCTCCTTGAAAACAGCTCATGAGTAATGTTTGGGGGTTATTGTAGCTTTGCTCCAAATACTTTAATTCTCTCAATACCCCTATTATGTGGAGACCAAATCCTTTGGGTTCTTCTTTTTTGTTGTTATTGTTTAGTCGCTAAGTTGTCTAACATTTCGCAACCCCATGGACTGGACTGTGGCACACCAGCCTTCCCTGTCCTTCACTATTTCCCAGAGTTTACTCAAATTCATGTCCATTGAGTCAGTGATGCTGTCTAACCATCTTGTCTTCTGCTGCCACGTTCTTCTTTTGACTTCAATCTTTCCTAGCATCAGGGTCTTTTCCATTGAGTCAGCTCTTCACATCAGGTGGCCAAAGTATTGGAGCTTCAGCATCAGTCTTTCCAATGAGTATTCAGGGCTGATTTCCTTTAGGATCAACTGGTTTAATATCCTTGGTTTAATATCCAAGGCACTCTCAAGAGTCTTTTCCAATACCACAGTTCTAATGCATCAATTCTTCAGTGCTCAGTCTTCTTTATAGTCTAACGCTAACATCCATATATGACTCCTAGAAAAACCATAGCTTTGACTATATGGATCTTTTTCTGCAAAGTGATGTCTTTGCCTTCTAATAAGCTGTCTGGATTTGACATAGTTTTCCTCCCAAGGAGCAAACGTCTTTTAATTTCATAATATAGTTTCATCTAAATTCTTCTCCCTCAGTAAAACAATGGAAATATTTTATATTTTAAGTTTATCAAGTCTCACCCACCAAAAATATCTTTTTCCTGCTTTTCTTCTCTCATTCAAGCAGCTAGTTGCTATCTTTATATAATACTAACATACATCAAATGTTGCTAACTGTTATCTCCTGATATGCATCCTCTCCTTTTCTGAAATGACAACTCCTGAGTTTTAGCTCTATATACTTTTCACCTCTCTTCTTTTCCCTAGTAGCTTTAATGGAGATGGCCGGAGCCATGTGGATAAATATATCATCTCACTGATGTTAGAGCAACAAGTTCAGAGAGTTCTTGGCCATTTAGTTTGCTTTATTGGAATGCTTGCATCTGGATATTTAAAAGAAAATATACCCCACCTTATTTAAGACACTGTAATTTGGGGATTCTGTTATAGCGAGGGAGCCTATGTTGAATTAATACAAGCCTCTGATAGGTGCCTGGTAATAGTTGAACACTTTATGTGCGTCACACTTAATTTGCACAATCACTCTATAAGGTGGGTCTTATCCTTACTTCTATTTTACAAATGAGTAAACTAAGGGGCAGAGGATTAAGAAGTTTGGCCAAGGTCACATAGCTAATGGGTGAGAGAACTGAAGCCTCTGCTCTGAACTAGCATGCCATAGCTCCACCCCTTCTTTCATTCCTCACCTATAATTAAGACCAGGGCCTGAGAATCACGCTTGACAATAATTTCATAATCTGTTCCTTTCCTTTCTCTTCATTCCTACTACCACCAACCATCCTTATTCTCCCTATTTTTTTCCCAGCTGCCAGTCATTCTCCTCTAATTCTGATTCATTCTCATTTAGCCTACAAAGTTATCTGACCCCAAATAAACTTGACTGTTGTGTGTTGCCTTTGAATTCTTCGTCAAATTATTTTACAAAAGCCTTCATTTGTGATATGGGTCCTGGAATGTCTTTTCTTTTTCCTTTGTGCAGTTGTAAAATATAACTTCCCTGGTAAAGTAAATATAGCTTCCCAGATGGCTCAGATAGGAAAGAATCTGCCTGCAATGCAGGAGATTTGGGTTTGACCCCTGGGTTGGGAAGATCCCCTAGAGAAGGGAATGGCAACCTACTCCAGTATTCTTGCCTGGAGAATTCCATGGATGGAGAGCCTGGTGGGCTACAGTCCATGGGGTTTCAAAGAGTCAGACATGACTGAGTGACTAACACACACACACAAAATATAATTTTACAATCAGTTATTTACTTACTTTTCAACTGAGGTATAGCTGAGTTACAGTATTATTTTTGTTTCAGGCGTACAGCATAGTGATTCAATATTTTTACAGAATTTACTCCTTTAAAAGTGATTCTAAGATAATGGCTATAGTTCTCTGTGCTCTACAATATATCCTTGTTGCTTGTCTGTTTTACACGTAGTAGTTTGTATCTCTTACCCCTAACTTGCCCCTCCCGTATTTCCTATCCTCACGATTAACCACTAGCTTGTTTCCTTTGTGAGTCTGTTTCTGTTATGCACATACATTCATTTGTATTTGTTTTTTGCCCCACTACTCCTGCCAACCCCCCCTTCCCTCCATTCTCTAGGTTCCAGTGATACTTAATGACCTTCCATGCTGATGCCATGCTCAGCCATGTTTATTATTGCTTTGGAGCTTTTTTTCTTGCTGGGAATCTTACTTCTTGATATCCCCTAGTTGACTTCTTCAGCTTCAGCTTAAGTCTGAATTTTGGGACGCATGCCCTGACTCTCCAAGTCTGTGCTGACTGATCAATTCCATAGCAACCTCTGCTCATTTACATTCAGCGTAATGTTCTTCTTTTATGTCTTTTATGTATTCCTGACAAGGTTATGAGCTCCTTGGTCTATGTTGTTTATGGCTGTATTCCAGTTAAGAGCACAGAGGAGGTCTTTAATACGTATATTTTGAATGGCTAAGTC